CAAGCGGCACGTTTAATCGCGCCTGTCATGGCGCGCTGTGCCCAGCGACCGCGCGGCCCTGATGGCCGTCGAAGGCACGTCCAACTTTCGGTGGTTCCAGCGAGGGGCCGTTGCGAGCCATTGTTCCCAGCTCATGGAACGGCTTTGCGGGCGAGCGCGGCACCGCCCTCTGGGCGTCGCAAAACCAAACCTCGCAAGGCCCATTGGCTGACCCCCTCCCCAAGCGCAACAACGTGCGCATGATCGCCGTGGGCTCGATGCGAGACGAATTGTCACGCGCGGGTTCTAAGCGTCATCGATGCTCTCTTGGCGCCTAGAACCAAACGCGTAGCTTTACAAGAAAAGCGCATGCCGCATGAGCTTCTGGGGGGCACGTTGCTCCGAACGTTGAATTGGCGCGCGGGCGCCTGGCGTTCTAGGTGCCTGCGCGCGCGCGGGCCAGCGGCGTTGGACGGCGTGGCAGGTAGAATGTTGCATTGGGGCGCCGCGCGGCTGTTGGCCCGTCGGTCGTGCCTCGACGGTTCGGCTAGCATTGCAACGTGGGACGGACATTCTTTACAGCGGTCGCTCTTCATGGTTTGCCAGGGCGGTCGTCGACAGGTGCGCGGCGCAGCCGATGTCCGACCGCATCCCGCACTTCACGCTCCGAGTTGATGCATCCCGAAGCGGAAACCGAAGAGCGCGACGCGCGCTGCCATCTGCGGCGCAGCGACAACGGCAGCGGCCGCGCGCCGCGCCATCCGAAGCGCCGACCACGGCTGGTTCCCATTGAGCGCCGCTGAAGGGGTGCGCGGTTGGTGGCAAAAGGTTTATCGCGCGCTGGGGCGCCGACCAGGATGCAATCGCGCCAAGAAAACCAATTCGCGCGCCAAACGCGCGCTTGGCGACGCGGTCCCCTGTTCACACGCTGCGCCCTCGCGAGCGCGAACGACGTGGCTCTGCGCGCAATGCCGCCATCTGGAGCAAGGCGCGCTGCGCGCGGGCGGCATCGCAACGACCCCTCCCGCCGCAACGTTTACGTTACATTGCGCCCCGCCCCGCCTGCGCGCCGACGAGTCGCCGCGCTGTGGCGCTGAACTGGAAAGCGGCGCGCGCGGCGATTTGCACAGAGGAGCGTTAGTCTTGCCGTTCGAGCTGCCGCGCGCGTCGCGGTAATGCGTCAAGTTGGTTCGCCTGGGCCTGGGCAGAGAACCGATTCGCTTTCGCGCCCGTGGTTGGTTCGCTGCTCGGTGCCGCGCATTTGCCGTGGAGCTTTGGAGGGCATCCGACGTGCGTGCGCTTAGGCCTCGTTGCATGCGCGCCTGCTGCCCGCGGGCCCAGGGGGCGCCGCTGCGGCGCCAATCGCGCGGCCAACCGTGCCGCTTCCAGCGCGGGGCCACTGGCCACGTGTCAATGCCAAGGCGCGTGCGCCGCATGATCCAACACGGCTGATATAGCCTCTCTCTGCTGTTTTTGCAAAGGGATAACAAATCGCCAGCACGCGCGGGCACTGCGCGTCTTGAAGCTGGCGCATCCCGCTCGTTGTGAACGTGCGTGCGATTGGTCGGTGGCGGCCGATGTGCACTGCCAAACGGCATGTCGACCGCGCGCGGCACAGCGTGGCATCGGCACGTTTGCAGAGCCATGCCCGCCGCGTGCCGAACGGCCCGCCGCAGCCACAAAGCATCATGCGCTCCGCCATGGCGCGGCAACTGCGCGTGGCCCTTCGCCCGCAAGTTCATTGAGCGCCACGCGCTGGGCTAGATGCATTGCGTCTGCTCGAGCCCAGATTCATCGCTGGCTCGGCGCCCCGTGCGCGTCGCTTGGCAAGGACGTCGGGTAATTCGCGCGGTTCCGCCTTGAGCGCATCGCGTCGGGCGTTATTGGTGTTTCTGATTGCTGCGCTTCGTCACCTCGGCGCTTCTGGATGCGCTCCATCGCGCTGCTGCGCGCGCGTGATCGCGTCAGCGCGGGCCCTAGGTTGTAAGGCGTTGCGCGCGCCATACCTCCGCGCGCGCACGTCGTGCGTTGGTTATCGCGCGCGCGGCCATGGCGAGATGGCCCAGCGCGCGGGGCGCGCGCGTCGGGTTCTTCTCGCGGAGGCCTTTTCGTGCGGGCGCAGTTCTGCTGGCAGCGCGCGGCCGCGTTGGCGTCTTGCGCGTGGCATTGCAGCAGACCAACGCCTCGGCGACCGCGAGAAAGTTCGCCTATGTGTTCCAGCCTAGGATTTGGGGCGTCTCGCCAGTGATTACCTTTGCGCCCCGTGGCGGGCGCAGAGGGTGATTGTCTGGCGCGCGCGCAGCGCTGATGTCGCAACGGCGCGTGCAGATTGGAACGCGAGTGGGCTTCGTGCGCATTGGCGACGCGCCAATGGGCACTACGGCTGGGCCTTCGGCGCGCGCGGTTGCGCGCGCGCAAGGGGCAGTGCGCGAAGCGTTTCGCGTGTGGCTTGCGCCGCCGTAAGTTCTTCTTGCGCTGGCCCGTGCAAGCCGCTGGTTGCGCGGGCATTGCAACCTCCGTGCGCTTGGACAGCCGCGCGCGACACTTGGTCGCCGCGTTTGGCCGCGATCGTTGCAAGTGCGCCTTGTCGCGCGCGAATGCCCGCGTTCGCCCCGCCCTGCGTTTTTCCGATGTCAGTTGTCATTGGCATCGGACATGGTCCCAAGGGCGCGGGCGCGCGCAGCAAGCAACGCGCTTAGGTGCGTTTCTGGCGGTATGCGTTGCATATGGAGCCTCGATGTAGGACCGTCTGCCCTGCTATCAAGGGTTGGTGCCGCGCGTGTCGAAAACGCGTACGTGGGCGCATCCTTGTGCGCGCGTGCGTGCGGACAGTGTGGTTGCAGGTGTGTTTGCGACGTCGCTGTGTTAACGTAACATGTTCTACGTATATAGTAATTTCCACAACACACAGCAAACAGAAATGCGCGATGCCCCCTATATTTCCCTCTTGTGTATTAGGGTATGCGCCCAACAAAACACATGTTCGCGCACACGCATTCCGTCACGCCAGCACGTCGTTGTTGTTTCGGTTGAGCATAGGGGTCATTTAATGCAGGCGCCAACGCGTCGCGAGCCATGTTCATGCCCCACAGGATTCCTCACAGTCCCAGCAACGGCCGCGAGCCGACTGGCAGGGTCGATCTGTTCTCTCTGCCCGACGACCCGTTCTACGTTCAGACGCCTCGCCCGAAGTCTCAGCTGGCTGTGAAGGACCTATGTCTGCGTAGTTTCCCTGGAAGGGAGGAGGAGGAGGAGGAGGGGGGAGGAAGGTGGCACCCTTTGTTCTTTCCACTCAGGACCTGGAGGGCACGCGTTCGGATGCTGACGACATTTGGTCGACGCCAGTTGCCGTGAACAAGGTGCGACAACCAGCTCGGAAGAAAAAAGTCTTTGCACCCACGGGAGTGTGGCTGTTCAAGTTGCGGGACCGCGGCAAGGAGCCCTCGAGCAAGTCGAGTGAGAGTCCTGTAGTTATAGTCATTGATTGACGTTTGCGTTTGCGAAGCCTTCGAACCCATTGTTCTATATCAAGTTGGGTTCCGAGCGCAATGGCGGGGGACGAAAGGGTGAACAATGTTGGTTTGGTATCGTTTATTGTTTTTTTCCTGGGGCGTGGGTGTTTTCGGGTCAGTTTCTGGATCCGTTTTGGGGCCCTGAGTTTTTTGGAATGATTCTGAGGCCGACGCTTTGTTCACCATTGTGTTTCCCGCCGCGCCGAGCTTTTGTCAGTCGAGGCCGTTCGTGGGGGTCGACGGCAGCATGACGGGAGTCTCCGCAGGGATACGTGTGAGAAAACATAACGCGAATGGCAACTTACATTCTGATGATCTCGCGGCATCCTTTTCCTCGCGCTTGTCCTCTGGCCTGGCGGTCGGGTTTCGTCCTCTGGTTGCTCTGGGCTGAGGCACCTCTGGGCCTGACCGAGGCTGTCCTTTCTTGCGCCCTTCGCATTGTTATCATGATACATTCCTTCTCTTTAGCCTACTCGTCTTACTCACGTATCCTCAGCCTATATCTTTTTCACCCCTGCTTCCATGACCTCCTTCTCTCTCTCTCTCTCTCTCTCTCCCTTGGCGGCTTCACTCATCTCGTCGCCGTCGCCTGTTGACCCGTCGCCTGCCTTGGTGTCCTCTGGGTTCGGATTGACGCTCGCAGAGCAGAGATTTCCCTTGGCCGAGTCTGGAGGAGGAGGGGGCTGTTGGGACAAGCAGTCGGAAGCATAATATGCCTTTGAAGAGGAGGAGAGCATGAGGGTGAGGAGTAGGAAGGTAGCTGTCATGAAGACGAAGGGTACGAGAGCGAGGCAACCGAGAACCATAGCAATCCAGGATGTATCATAGAGAGCAAAGGAGAGAGTCGGGACCAGAGCAAAGTACGAAACATGACCTACAGGGTATCCCTCTGCGCATCGCTCGGCCATCTGCCCCCACCCTTAGAAACCAGGTCCCCAGCCACTCTATGCGACCCCCTATGTGACCACCACACAGGTTCAATCAACTCCGATGTGCTCCCTTAAAGCTTAAGTCACCTCTGGAGGTCCCAGTGCATACCCCCCAAAGGACTAAACCCACCCAAAGGCTACATCTCCTGACGCTCCGACCTCTGCCTCCCCAAACCATCCACCGAATCCATTTGGGCTCCACGCGTCCTCCACATTTCAGGTCTTTTGGACCTTCGACTGCACAGGACGTTACTTGCATTATTGTGCCTGCCGTTTTCTTCGAGCGCAGACTTGTCAGTTGCATGGCGCCCAAGAAGAAGGGCGACCCCGCTGGGCATCCAGCCAAGAGGCCGAGGCCGTCTGGCCAGGTGTGCGTCTGCATCTCCTGCGGTGTGAACTCCTCGGACCGATGGGGAGTAAATGAGGGTTCAGTCTGGATCAGGTCGCCCTTGTTTTGGTGTTTCCTGCCCGGAGGGTGTCGGCAAATTTCCGAGGGTTTCTTTTTGTTGGGAAGCACTGCAAAATCACATGACCAGGTCCGCGTCGTCGATCGGATGCCTCCGTTTTTGGATTGTCTCAGGAGGTTCAGTGGAACGAGCACAACGCTGACGGCTCGGCTTCAGGGGCGTCTTGCAAGCCCTGCGGTGAGAAGATGTCCGCTCTCTTCCCTTGGGCAACCGACTTCTCGGAGGCAGTGAGTTGCGCTCAAGACGACAAGCAGTTCAAGATTGACTGGAAGAACACGGCGTCTCAGCCGTCCGACCCCAACTCCAGGAGTTTCCCCACGGAGGACGTCTACGAGCTCATCGAACAGAAGTACACCATCTACAGGGACTTTATCTACCTGACGGACAAGGACGTGAAGGAGCTTACCGACAAGACGGCAAAGAAGCTGAAGTTGAAACCATTCGACGGCATTGACGAGAATGGCTACTATGAGAAAGGCTACCTGGTGGAGGACGACGTCGGCGGCGCATTCACGTCGGGCTTCAAGCGCATGCGCGTGGAGATATCGAGGGGAGCAGCTCGGAAGGTTGTCAAGCTTGAGAGGGCCAACCACTTCATCTCAGAGCAGGGTGCTATGACGTGGAGGGCGCATTTCGAGCAGGATGCCAACAACAATACCATGCAGACCGCCATCTCCATCGCCCAGCCTCTCTCGAGGATCGCGACCCCGCCTGGAGGCGTACCTGGCCAGCCTGGATCATCAGCAGGTGGAGGTGGCAGCGGCTTCTTCCCTCCAGATGACGACGACGGGCCGCCTCCGCACAGTGGCGCTGCTTCCAGTTGCGTCGGCTGGACGCCACCTAAGGCTGGGATGCCCAAGCCATCTGACGGGGCAGGCTCCGAGTCTGGCGGGACCCCCCGCGGTGCGATGATGCCTCCAAGACGGGGCTCGCACCCTTCGCCGTCTCCACCCGCTGGGCTGCGTTCGCTTGGGCATGCATCGCAGGCGCCTGCAGGCTACGCCGCCAGCTGCGTGAGCAGTACACGAGGTGGGTTCGATGACGAGTTCGCGGAGTGCCCCAAGGAGGTGCCCAAGAAGTTCGCCTACTGGATCCAAATGAACGACCTCACCAAGATACTTGCCGATGGCAACCTGGGACGGGCTAAGAAAGAAGGGTACGCTCTAATGAGGCGCACCCAAGGGTGCAAGGACCACGAGGACAACTATTCCAAGCTCAAGAGTCACATGGAGCTCGTTGAGTGCGCCTTGAAGGTGAGGCCGTCCATGCTCACCAACACTGGTCCTGCGGAGATCACGACGTCCCTCAAGAAGCTCAAGGCCGCCAACGCTGTCTTCCCCTTCTGCCTGCAGACCAAGCTGTGGCGCAGAGTAGTCGATAAGAAGATGGGAGAATATGTTACCCTCGACAGTGATGAGAAGATCGGGGATCTCTTCAAGTTGTGCAAGCCTTACGGCAGCGTGCAGGACGTGGACGAGGCGATGGTAACGTTCGACCCGCTGACGCCGACGATTCCTACGATGGGCTGCTCGGTGACAGAGGCGACGTCGGTGTTCGTTGATTTTTTTATCTCGGGTATCTTCTGCAAGTATATCTTGAATGGGAAGGACGGTGTAGACTCAGTTGTCAAATTCTCCACGGGGATGATGAAGGTCTTGAAGGAAGAGCTCGAGGAGGAGCGGGCCCCTGAGTGGTTCATCGAGTGCGCGTTCCAGTTGAACCTTTGCTTCAAGGTCGCAGTGGGTGCCATCAGCCCTGGTGTCAACGATGATTTGGCGAAGCAGGCTGAGCTTATAGCACAGTTGAGGGGGGCAGCGTCGACGGAGGGATCCATAGCTCATCGGGTTTGGAGTGCGATGATCACGGGCACCTACTACTTGACACTGTTTGAGGAGGTCGAGCAGTTCGCAGAGAAGAGCGTCAAGTACCAGGGCGAGGTTACTGAGGCCGCTCAGGGTCTCGATCGTTTCTTGAAGATGAGCTGCGAGGAGTTCGAGGAGAACATCTCTGATGCCATTGCGCACTTGGACACCACGTTCAAGCGCTTCGGCACGTGGGAGGTGTCCTACCGCCCAGGGACGTTTACTGAGTTCCTGGATCAGACGAAGAGTCTTCTGAATACTGTCATCCTCACCTTCGCCAAGCTGACCAAGGAGCAGCAGGCCCCCCTGGCGCAGGATGCTTACAATATGTGCGTGACGGTTGAGAAGTCTCTTCCCTTGGACGACGGGGTCGCTCACTTGAAGTTTCAGTGCACCATGTTGATCGCTGAGAATAACCAGTCGGCGCGCGAGGCGTCCCTCATGATAGTCATCAATCGTGCTGCGACGATCGTGCCTGAGGACCTCTGGAAGGACGAGTCCATGTGCAACGAGATCAAGAAGGCCGCAGAGGTCTGCACTGGCGGTAGCGTATCAGCTGGCATCGAAGGACCTGTGCAGAACGTCTTTGATAAGATTGCAGTTGGCGTCGCTGGTCAGATCAGCACTTCTACGGCGACGACGCAGGTTTCGGACGCGATTTCCACGTTGTCTTCTCTTGCTGGTATCCTCCCCAAGACTAACACGGCGAGCCATGCGATGAACAACAATCTGATTCGTTTGTGCAAGGTCGCGTTCCCGTTCGTTGACGCCCAGGCGTCTATGATGAAGGCAATCGATCAGCATGGCGACACCTCGGATAAGCTTCTCCCCAGCCTGCGCACGTGCATGGGCAAGGCCGACGCGCTCCAGAAGCATCAGAAGGCGTGCGATTCCATGGAGAGCGACGCGCTCAAGATTGCAATGCCCTTGGTGACGAAGGCCTTGGAGGATTACGAGTCGACGTCGAAGGGCGTCTGCGACGCCATCATCACGTCAAGCTTCGATGGCCTCAGTCGCCTTGCAAAGGACTTGACGGGGATCGCCAGGGGCGGCGTGGACGGCGCGGCCTGGTACGACACCGCTGGGGCCTGCGTCAAGTTCGACGACTTCGTCAAGCACGGCAGAGACACTATCATGCAGGTCGGTGCCGCCAAGTACGCGGAGGATGCTGGAGCCTTGAGCCAGGCGGGTCCTCCTTCTCCTCCTGCCTCCACCTGCCCACGCCCTCTGCCCAAGTGGCTCCAAAACTAACCTCCTCCCCTCTGCCTTGTGATTATGCCCTCAACCGTTCCCGATCCTCCCGCCCCCTCTTTCCTGCCGGCCTGGGGGGGCGTCGTCCTTGGCCGTCGAGGTCCGTGTTTTCCCCCTCCAGCGTGGCTCGACGCGCTTGGGGGCTCCCTAAGCCACGAGAGGCCAGCGAGCGATAGCGGCCCTGGGCTGGATTAGAGAGGGAGGCGGTCGGAGGTTCGAGGGGGAGGGAGGTGGATAGCGAAGGTAGGTGGAGGAGCGATGGAGGGAGGTCGGAATCAGGAGGCGCGAATAGGCCAAGAGGTGAAGCCGCGAGGATGGGGGAATCCAGCAGGATACTCCAGGAGTTGGCTGGCGAGGAGGAGGAGGACCGACAGAGAGGATGAGGAGGAGTGGGCGGAAGGAAGTAGGAGGAGGAAGATGAGTGTTTTTACGAGGTTCACGTGTGCTGTGGGTCCCGATCCTTTCGTTCGAATGCGGTCTTGTTTCATGTGTTCGCGTTCGTCCATCGTGGCCCTCCCCAGGCATTGGCCGACCACGAGGCGCTGCTGGGTGATCTCGGCAGGGACGGCTTCGAGGCGAAGCCATTCGTGGACCTCGTCTCACACTTGACAATCTCGAGGGCGGAGTGCGATGCCATCCAGATGTTCTCGGAGAAGATGGCGCCCGTGGCTCTCCAGAAGAGCGCCGCCGCCCTCAAGCTGGTCTTGAAACCTTGCGGCGGCGTGCAGGCCATCCACAAGAGGCTCGCCGATCGCGTCATGGAGGCGATCAGTTTCCAGTAGGTAGGTCGCTAGGCCTTGAGCGGCGGCGGGAGGAGGAAACGAGGAGGCAGGCCGAGGATAGGTTTGTTGAAATGGCAGGGGGGGTGAAGCCCCGAGGGGAGGGTGAGGATGGAGGTAGTGGAGGCGGAAGATGGTGGGTATCATGAGTTTGGGGTTCTTTGGGTTCTTGGGTTTCTTGGGGGACTCAGAGTGACATAGTAGACGTAGGAGGGGGGAGGCAAAGGCATGAGGCTTGCAATGGTTAAACCTGGAATGGGGGGTGAGAGAGCGCACGCCCTTCCGTGGCCATCCTGTACCTTCCCCTTGTACCCCTTCAATTTGGAGGAATGCTGGGGGAGAGGACGGAACCATCCTGACCCTCCACCTTCTTCCCAGCTTTCGTGCAATACCACCCTGGTCCACGCACTCCCCCCGCTCTCCTGGTGGGCTCCTCGATGGTTCGCCGAGGGGCGATCCGCGACGCGCTGTGCGGGCCTCGTGGGGCGGCCCGTTTCTTCGAGATGCGCGGCGCGCGTCGCAGGACGGACACGTGGACGCGCCTCCTCTGCCACTTTGTCCGTCGTCTTCCGTCGTGGTCGGTTTCTCTCGGCGTCGTCCTCGCCGATCGTCGTTGCGCTTCGTCGTCGTAGGACGTGGAGTGGGAAGAGGGGGAGGACAGGGGGAGCGCGAGGAACATGCTATGAAATGAGAGGGTGGCGTCGGACGAAAGGAGCTATAGAGGATAAAGGGGGGAGCGCGGGGGATGTATGATTGGTGGCATGGAAGAGGAGAAGTATATACGCCAGAGGAGGGCGAGGGGGTGGAGTCACGTTTCGGTCGTCGTGGTTCGCCGCCGTCGTCGTCATCGCCGTCGTCGGCCCTCGTCGTCGATGTTTTTTGCTGTTCGTCGCCGCCGCCGTCGGAACGGCCACGACAATGGGCGCGTTGGAGAGATTGGTGTTCAGGGGCATTGGGAGAGGCTCCTGGATGTGCTCCAGGGCATCGCGTTGGGCCGAGCTCTTGAGGGTGATCCCGAGGATGGGCGCAAGCGCGTGGTGCATCGCGATTCTCTTGTTCGCCTGTGGTACTTCGCATGTGACGGCATTGTTGTCATCCCGCCGTTTTCTGACAAGTGTCGCCACTTATTGGACTAAGAGGTGTATTCGGTCAACTCGCCCCCCCGCAATGACATCTGATTGTGAGGAAGTCTCGCGCGAAACCGTATGGAACTGACGTGCTGCGTGGCATCATTAATCGCAATGCGACGGTTATGCGTTGGTCTTCGAAAAATGTCAGGAGTATTTTTCGACTATTTTTTGATAGTGTTATCAAAATCATGGAAACAGTATTTTTGAAGTATTTTTAATTTTTCTTAATTTTCAGCCCTGTAGGACACATTCCCCTCTTAATGCTGGGCGTGCTCTGGTCCTCCTCCTCTGCCTCGTCCTCCGTCCCCTTCCTCCACCATCCTTCCCCCCCTCCCCCGCTCCCCTACCTCGCCACCGCCGCCGCTGTGGCCGTCGCCGTCGCCTCGTCGCCGCCGCCGCCGCCGCCGTGGCCGTCGCCGTCGCCACCGCCGTCGTCGTTGTCGTCGTCGTCGCTGTCGTCGTCTTCGTCTTCGTCGCCGTCGCCGTCGCCGTCGCCGTCGCCGTCGTCGATGCCGATGCCGTCGTCGCCGTCGTCGTCGCTGTCGTCGCCGTCGTCGTCGTCGTCGTCGCCCCGCACGCCCCGAGGAGGACTCGCTGGTGCTTCAGGCCTTCCGCGGTGAGGCGCCCGTCGGGGAGGCGGTGCTGCGCCTGCAGGCCGCAGGTGCGCCAGACGCGCCGCCTCCGCCCCAGCCCAGCGGGAGTCGGGGCCAACGCTGGTGGGGGACGGGGAGGAGGAGGAGGAGGAGGAGGAGGAGGAGGAGGAGGAGGAGGAGGAGGAGGAGACGGAGGGCACAGATCCGGACCCGACCTCTTCCTGGACGCCGCAGGTGCAGCCTCATCGAAGCAGGGCCATGGGCCCAGGCACGGCATGCTCCCGCCGCGCTGCGGCGGCGGCGGCGGTGGGCGGGCGTGCAAGGCTGCGCGCCGCCATCGTCAGGAACAAAGTTAGGGCGGGCGGGATACAGTCGGACCAATGCATGAGATCGAGGTCGGTTCTGTTCTTCGTGTTTTGTTGGATGCACGGTCACCGCTGCCTCGGTCGGCCGCTCCGGCCCGCTCGACGCGGAACTCTTCCACGTCTGAGCGCTTTTCCTTCCCCCTCCCCCCGCGCGGCCGCTCTCGTCGTCTTCCCCTCCTCTTGCACGCCTGCCACCAATTAGCCTTTCGGTTGCCCCGTATAGCGCACGCTGGAGCGGACTGCCTCCGCATCGCCGCCAACGAAAAACATGTTTGATGTTCTTGTGCACCCTGGGGAGGGTGCCCTTGGACGTCCTGTGTGTTCTGGCCGGGCGGAGGGTCTCGTGCTCTTGCGGGATGCTCTTCTGTCCCAGGTCCGGCCGCAAGAGCGCGTCGACCCGCAACCGCCCATCTATCCGCGAGAAGGGCCCGATGGCCCACCCCGCCCAGGAGCGCGCGGTGTCGCTAGCGGGTGCCTATCGCCGACCCGTCGGCGACGTGTCGCCGATTCCAGGTTGATGGTCCCCCCTTGAGCGGGTCCCCTCGAATATCCATCGAGGAGGAGGAGGAGGAGGAGGAGGAGGAGGAGGAGGAGAAGGGAAGGAGGAGGAGGAGGAGAAGGGAAGGAGGAGGAGCGGCGGGGAGGTTCGGCCCGATGAATTCCGATTGAGGGGAAAGGCAGGGGATCCAGACCCCCGACGTCAGGATTTTTTTCATTGCGTGGGCCCCCCGAGGTCTGGACCCCTTCCCTGGGGACAGGCTTTTCATCCCGAGTCGTTTTCGGACGGTCCCGAGGTCCAGTACGGGCCTCGAGATGCCGACAGCGAGCACACATTTTCCGCCATGCTTGTTGCATGACCCGATGGTGACCGTTTTGTTATTGATTGTTTTGCTGATCGGCGCGGGCTCTCGTACCCCCCCTTCCCCCCATGGAGTAGATCTTGGCTGTTTTTGGCGCCTGTTTCGAGCAGGAGGAGCCTCTCCCCAAAAGGGCGCACGGCTGCAAACAGCCGCATGAGGCAGAGGTCCGGGGCCAGACCCCCCCTTCCCCCCCTTCCGCCCAACATCGAAATGCCGAATAAGAAAACGCTCACCATGCTTGTTGCATGACCCGATGGGGGGTCCTGGGAGGAGGAGCAGGGCATGTAGAGGTGCCGATGCTCCGCTCTGCGTCCCTCCTCGCCGCGGCCAGGTTGGCCTCCCATGCCTCGGGGGCAACGAGAGGGGGGGATAGGCATAGGGGGGAATCATCCACCCCTTATCGCCCACCGATCGCCGATGGGGGCCCGATAGCCCCAACCCGCCAGGGGAGGTGCGGATTCGATATCGGGTGCCTACAGTGTCCAGCGTGAATAAGGAACACTTACTTTTCAAAAGGGGTCGGCCGTTAATTTGGTTTGCACGCGTCCCGCTACCTTTTTGGCGGCGAGCCCCCCTGGTGTTCCTTCGGATTTGCTACACCCACTCGGAAAAAAGGGGGGCTTCGTTCCTTACTTATCGTTCCTTAGGTCAGGCCGAATACTGTATCGCAGATTCCAGGTCGGTGCATCCCCCCCTTGTGCCTATCTCCCCTGGTCGGGGCGCGCCCCGGGAGACGTCCTGGGAGGCAGCTTTCGGCGCATCGGCACGCTCCTGCACACACACACACACACACCACACATCACACACCACACACCACACACCACACACCACACACCACACACCACACACCACACACCACGCACCACGCACCACGCACCACGCACCACGCACCACGCACCACGCCCACGCCCACGCCCACGCCCACGCCCACGCCCACGCACACACACACACATACACACATACACACGTACACACGTACACACGTACACACACATATACACATGCACACATACACACATACACACATACACACATACACACATACACACATACACACATACACACATACACACATACACACATACACACACAGTCACACACACACACACGCGCCACCCGCTTGGCCGCAGAAGTGGCCAAGGGCGCGAACGGCTGAGTATTCAGCTCGGGTATGGAACTGCAGGTGCACGGCCTGCATGCGATCACGGTACAAGCCCAAAACACGAAATTCCGAGCTCTCCAACAGCCGCAGAAACACACTTGTCTAAGTGTCATTGTTAGCAGTAGCTCTCACCGCACATACGTAGTAATAGCAACAATCGCCGCCACATTACAATTTGACGTGGAATCGTCAGAGACGTTTTTTATGACACTGACGCGAGGCCTGAGCGATATATCTTTGAGCACCTCCTGCTGTGGCCACTGCTCAGCCTGGACAGGACGTCAGTGAAGCCTGAACCAAAACGTTTCCTGAAAGCACCGCGGACGCACACACACACACACACACCCCTCCTCCTCCTCCTCCTCCTCCTCCTCCTCCTCCTCCCCCTCCTCCTCCTCCTCCTCCCTCCTCCTCCTCCTCCTCCTCCCTCCTCTCCTCCTCCTCCTCCTCCTCCTCCTCCTCCTCCCCCTCCTCCTCCCTCCTCCTCCTCCTCCTCCTCCTCCTCCCTCCTCCTCCTCCTCCTCCTCCTCCTCCTCCTCCTCCTCCTCCTTTTCCTCCTTCTCCATCTCCACCTCCTCCTCCTCCTCCTGCTCCTCCTCCTCCTCCTGGATATCGGCCGCGAGGACTTCGATAACCTGATCGGGGTCATTTCGAAGGCTCCTCGACGTCGGGCGGCACCGCCTCACAGGGTTCCCACGGAGGCACTTGGACTCGCACTAGAGCCATGGCGTCGGTATGATGGCCGACGGCGACGCCGCCCACGCCGCCCTGGCGATGAAGATGAGGTGGATGATGAACCTCCCCGAGGCAGTGGAAATGTTTGCCCCTCTCTTCCGCGAGGCGTGCCACGCGCCACTCCAACCACGGCATCGTCTTGCTGGAGATCGTTGCGGGCTCGGCCACGATATCGAGGAGCTCGACGCCCGTTACCGAGCGGGCCCTGAAGGACATCGTGGCCCACATCAGGCGCGTGAAGCGCGTCCCGCTGATCTGGCACCATTCCGTCACCACGGCGCTCGACAATGGCAAGTCCGAGTTCAAGCGAAGCGCTTCATCCTTTGCCTTTGCCGCGTTCGGACGGCATGGTACAAAGCACAGCTCCAGCGCGCGCCACCTGACCTTCCACCTCCGCGAGAGCACGGCTACCAGCGTGGTCGGAACCGCGAAGACGCATTTCTATGCCAAGAGGGACTTCTTGGTCGTCTGCGTCGCCTTGGCATCTCCACCCTCACCACCAAGGAGGATATGAGCAACGCTTCGGGTCCTCCGACTTGGGAGCCCTTTGCCGCACTGTCGAGGCGGCGGCGCGGCCCGAAGAACAAGTCGATTTCCACCAGCGGCACGAGCTCAGCACCTTTCGCGTCGCGGGCGCCGACGGCGACCAGGACATGCACAACCGTTGCGGCGCCTTCATGGGCACCACGCCCGCGGCGCTCCTCTTCGCGAGGACCTTCCGCGACCCCGTCACGGCTGGGCTTTGTCGTCTTCGCGCTGCCGCCGGAGTCACCTACGACTTGCCCGACCCGCCATCCTCCTACGACGACTGGAAGCGCCAATCGCTTCTTCCACCAGCCCAACGGGCCGACATCGACACGACGATCTGGCCGATCGAGATGATGTGCATGGCCTGGTGCCCGCTCCTCGAGGCGAAAGTCCCACTTGGTACGCGGCTTTTTCGCGGACGGCACTAACCGCCAGAGCGTCATCACTTCGGCCAGGGACGCAGGCTTCGTCTCACAGCATTCGCACCACGAACGGAAGCGTGCCCTTCAACCTTACGGCTACACGCACAACTCGTCCAAGAGTTCGGTCTCGCTTTGTTTCGTCGGTCGTGGCTCCCAGCACGGGACTCGCCAACTGTTCAGCGGCGCCGAGGCCATTGCCGGCATAGTGTAGCGCGACAGCGTGGCCCTCGGCATCCAGACTTTTATCAGGGGCAGCGCGCAGACCGAGCTTCGGCGACGTCTGCAAGCTGCCCGCAGGAGGAATTATAGCATGGGGCGCTTCTGGGCCCGCATCCGCGCCCGGCGCCTCACGCGGATCGCGTTCGGTTCCGTGATGCAGGAGGCGGCGCTGAGCGGCTTGAACGTTCTGGCGCTCCGCACGGCGCAGCAGCTGCAGGTCGAGAGGGTGATCGCCAGCCTGGGCCGTCGCACGCTTGCTGGGGCAGCCTGCCAGAAGAACCCGATTGTCAGCGGCGACGGGGAGCAACAGCTGGACGACTACGGCAGGCCTCTCCTGCGCTACAAGGCGATGACTGACGTGGCAGTGCTGAAGCGGCTCGGCCTGGCGCTCACCGCGGTTGAACTTCGCGCTCGTCGCCTTCGCCAATATCAACGCTGGCCTCGCCGCCCTGAACAGCGCCCGCAGGAGCTCGCCGCGGTTTTCGGCGAGCTGCCGCTGGAACCCAAGCCCATGCTCAACTCCAACGGCTCGGTCTACGAGGTCGCCAATTCGTGCGCGCTGCGGTTCGCTACCGACGTGGAGGCGCTGCTGGGCACCGCGGAGGCCGCCGAGCTGCGATTTGACATGCAGACGCCACTGGCAGCGCTCAACATTGTCGCGCTGTTCTCCAGCGAGGAGCTCCGCGAGCGCTACCTGGCGCTGGGCGCGGGGCCGCCGCGGGCGCAGGCGCGCGCGGCGGCGGTTGCGTCGCCTAGCTGGCTGCCGCCTTTTGCCGC